TTTGTGTTTTGGGGGTTTTTTTTTTTTTTTTTTTTTTTTTTTTTTCTGGAAATAAATTGTGCTGAGCTGCCTGGCACTCTGAACTTTGCTCTGGACAGAGTTAGTTTTTCTTACATCTGAGAGGGGAAACACACAAAAACTGCTGAACAAATGTGAGCCCAGCCCAACAGACAGGCATGCTGTGGTTTAACCCCAAAAAAACAATGCCCTATGGCATGCAATGTGCAACCCATTAAGCACCTTATCACTCAATCAGCCTTGAAAACTCTTTCCAAATCTGTCTGTACTCAAGGACATGATGCACTGAACTAGTGCCTTCTGGCAGAGGTGGGCAGGCACCAGCCTCAGATGGAAGAGCATGTGCCCAAAATTATAATTTAGAGTGTAGTCCCTCTGGACAATGTTTGTGTACAGAACTTGGGCAAATGGTGACTGATGCCTATTTGGGCGTGTATCTAAAACGAAGATATATAAAAAATGGTGAAAGCAGACACAAACCCTCAGGAAGAAGGCTACATGTGAGTTGCACATGGGTGGCCCCCGGCAAGCTGGAAGTCCAGTTAATGCAAGCAGCAAAAGGCTGAAGGAAAAGGAGAATATAGTAGATCCTGTTGCAAAATGTGTTTAATCCAAAACTCTGCTGCAAGCATCAGGCTTGCTGGGCTGGTGAATTCCTAGCAGATATGGGCTGGCCTCAAAGATGTGGGACTTGCACCATAGACCCAAAATAAGGACTGGGAGGGTGTTGGGCTGGGAGCAAGAAGGGGCTTAGACACAGATCATATCTGATTTCACAGGCACTTCCCTGAGTATGAGGGATTTGTTGACCCCAGAAGCCAAAGGAAACCTAACGGTGGATACCCAGATGAAGCAAAGCATACAAAAGGTTCTTGGAATTAATTAGAACTGAAAATCTGATTAATGACTTGGTTTGGGGATCCTTCAGAGAGCAGTTTTGACACTGGTTTGGGAACATCACTGTGATTATGGAAGCCCTATTTCCCAAGTTTTCGAAAATCAACCCACTTTCTGTGTTTCAGACACTGGAGCATATCTCTAAACTGAAAGTGCTCTGTTTCTGTGGGAGGGATGAGCTGAGCAGGACAACAGCCTCTAAGTGATATGGCTCCACAGCTCATTAACAGCAGCATAAAAGGCTTTCTCTGCCTGGACTAGGACTGAGGACAGCATGGATGATCCCTGACCCATAGCTGGTGTAGCTCCGTGGGAAGGCTCAGTGAATACGGCCAGTGAAGAGAGAAGGGCTCAGCTCCCTTCCCCATTTTCTGATCCAGTCTTCTGCACTGAGCCTTCTGTCACTGGGCCATGCACAAGGGAGACTGAAAGTGCAGCCTCAGCAGCTGAGAAGGGAGCAATATCACATAATCTATGAGAGGCTTCTTTCAGCTGAACTCCTCGGGGAGCAGCGACCTGCTTTGGCAGTGTTTACACACCGTATCTCTGATTTGCACCTTTAGTAGCTCCCAGGGTGAGCTCTGGCTGTACAGCAGCTAGTGATAAAAAATGAGGACAAGTACACAGAAACCCAAATTTATCGCTGGGATTTCCTCCCAACCATTACTCACATGGACGAGCTGCTCCTGAGTGTCATATTCCTTTGTGCACCCTTCCCAGTGACAGTTAGTCTCATAAATAACCTCAGGCTCCTGTTTACATTCATCCTTATCAAGATCTTCTTTCAGGTCTGTCAGATGCTCCTGCAACACATAACGGTGCATTGTATAAGGTGAACTTCTTTCATCTGAATTCCTCCATCACTCATAGATTACAGGGCAAGTATCAACTGATCACAAAACCATGCTCGTTGTGGCTACATAACATCCACGATTACTGTGGAATAAAGAGCTACAGGGTTTTGGCAGAAGTGGATCAGATTTGACAACAAGATCTGAAACACCCCAAAGCCACTGTTGAAGCAGTGCCTGGATTCAGCTGGGTTGTGGGCAGTCCTAGGAAAAACTGAAGAAAGGAAAGAGCTGGCTTCTGACCTTTGTTGTATTCTTTCCTGGAGCAAAACAACTGATCTGGGTGGAGTGGAGAAACATGAGCATAAAGAAATTACAGAGCAGTCAGAGCCCAGAGCCCACGCTCACCTGACATGGGCTGGGCAGGAGGTTCCTGTTTTCTGCATCTCTGAGTTGAAAAGAAAAAAAATGATACCCAACCCAAAGATTTATGCCTGCAGGATTCTCCACAGGGACAAAGTGATGAGCTCTCAAAACACTTCTCTGAGAGGGGAATTTGGAAAGCATGAGCAAGACCCAGTGAAGAGGAGGTTGCAGAACAGAGGTCCTGGGACTCTGGACTCATAAAAGAGTTACTTTAATGTTGGGTACACTGTAAGGTCTCTCTTTAACTTCTCTGTCCAGCCAGCTCCCCAGTGTAAAATGAAGTACAGAAGATTTTTGTTACGGCTGCTAGGATTAAAGCATGGGCAACTACACAAGTGTAACATACAACATAATCAGTACAAATCCAAGTAAGGACAACTGTCAGCTCTGTGTCCATCGGACACCTGCACTACAGACTGGGCCATCGACATCCAGTATTGGCTTGGGAATCTAGCAAGACAAACCCTGCAGGTTTTGGCCCCCTTCATTCCCTTTCCTCCCAGATACTACTGTTGCCTAGCACAAAGCATCCTGCCTCCAGGACACGTTTGGATAGGAGCATCTGGGGTGACTGACCACAGCAGACGCTGTTTCTCTCAATCTGCTGCTCCAGTTGGACCCATATGTGTGTAGACACAAACTCAGACTGTCTCTGGCCTGCCCAAACAGACCTATGTGGCTGCCACGTCCTTCCCCACCAACACCTTCCCAATGTCTACGGGAGAGCTGCAATGATTAATGACTTAATGACATTATATGGCTTGGAAAGTGAGATGTGCTGTACCAAAGTTCAACAATTTTCATTAACTAGCTCATGACACCCATGCCAGCAGTGCCGTTTCTATTTAAAAGTTTAGATATGGAGAGGAAGAGATTTGTTTTAATTAGCTCTGATTTAAAAAAAAATAAAATTGCAAGATGGCTCTTGGGACAGGGAACTGTAGTAATTTACAGAAAGACTTCAGGAGATTCAAACTATACCAGAGCCCAGAGCAATAGTCTGAGAAAGTTCAAACAGCAGCTTCTTTTTCCTGCAATTCCTATTTGGTTGAGCTGTACAAATTATTTTTTTTTTAATGTTTGTCTCTGTGCAAAGTGCGGTCCCCAGACAAACGTAATTTTCTACTAAAAATCTTATTTTGCCAAAATTTTTATACTTTCTGTTGGAAAAATGAAATAGTAACAATTTAATTTGTTGAAAAGGATTGACTTGTTAAATTTCTAGCCAGTTCAACACTAGTCTGAATCTCTGCTGGAGCTCTCTTGTGGCACTGTAGAAGTTCAGTATCTCAGGTCCCTCATGCTTGGTACTTCACCGTATCCCACAAATCTTGTCTGATTGCATTTTTTACAGCACAAACCATCATGGGAGATGCTGTCTTGGCCAAGGATTGCAAATGCCCAAACCACTGCTCACATGGGGTGTTTCAAATGCAGCATTTCCAAAACAAAACATACACATTTTTGGGGATAGATGAACTTCACAGTCAGCAAAAAATGGATAGTCAATTATTAACTGACTGTAACACAACTTTTCAGCACAGTCTCCTGCAGAAAAGAAATTTCTAAATTTAGTAATTCTTCTTTATTAGACTAAAGGACCCGCTACATTCAGTTTTTTCATCTGTTCTCCTTGCCAAGAATGGGCTGTCTGTTACACGGTACCTTCTAGTAATTTCCCAGTCAATACCAAAATGCTACAAGATGTGGAACCTAAATGTCCCTTGGGGAATTACTTCACATACTGCTTCATTAGGAACTATTAGATGATCAGTGTGCATTTTCCTACTCCTAATTTCACCTTGCTATTCTAATCAAATCTCATTGCACCACTTTATTCCCTGCTCCATTCAGTGCCAATTTCAGTGTTTTAATTTTTAAGAGCCAGTGGATGAAACCCCTGGAGCAGGGCTGCAGGGGTGAGCCAGGCTGGTGCTATCCAAGCACTGCCAAGCTGGGCACACACAGCTTCGCACAGAGCAGCACAAGGAGGATGGCAGCCACTGAGCAAGCAGCTGTCTGTCCCACAGCTCCTCCAGTAACACATGCTTAGAGAAAGCAACTGATGGCTTTCAAATATTTTTTCATTTGCTGCAAGAAATAAATACATTGCCCTATTAGCCCAGGTAGTGGCCAGATTAGTTTTTCAGGGCATGTGATTTTGCAGCAGTGTGTAGATGCACGCCTAAACTCAAAGCTCCAGAGAGGTGCCTCTTTGCCCTAATCGTGCTGACTACAGCATGTTTATCTTTCCCTGATATGCTATCTTCATCAATTTTACCAGCCCCCTGATGACTGCACACGTTGCTGTCCCCATGCATCATGCTGAGACCTGCTCCTGAACCAGGGCAGAAGGAGAAATTTGTCATCAACTCTTCCATTCGCTTGACAATAACACGGCCTAATATTTCATGAAAATGAAGTGCCCAGAGCACTCCTGATAGTTTACAGTTGTGATAAAGGACGGTCAGATGGATACTGTCAGCCATTAAACAGTTTGCAATCACAGAGCTCCAGAAAGAAAGCAAAGGCCTCTGGGCCCTTCTTGGTGTCAAATGTTGTGTCACCAGTGTAAAGGATGTTTCTAGGAGCAATTCCTTGTTGAATCAAGAAGTCGTACTTTTTTTGCAAGCTTTCTACCTACATGCAAGCTTCCCTCATAATCTATGTTTGCTCTGAGACACTAATGCAGCTTGCTTTGCACAGAAAACTCAGACATCATTTTTACATTATTACACTTGATATATTTGCTCTCTCCTCTTTTTTCCTATCCAAGCACAGAAACAGCAAGCTGAATCCCTAGTACCCATGGAATGCTTCACTCAGTCACTGCAGCTCTGCCCTGTCCCTTCCTGGGCTTTGTGCTCCAAGGGACACCTGCCTGGCTGGCAGATTTTGCTGCCTTGCTCCCAGCTGCAAAAAAAAGATGCCAAGAGGATTATTTCCAAAGATGAGACCCAGCAGCTCACCACCTCAAGCCCACAGCATGGCTCGCAGCAGGGAGTTTACCTGTGTGTTTGGGGACACTGGGGGCAAGCCCTCAACTTCAGTCTTGACTTTGCTGCGTTTGTTAATTACTGGATTGACGGTGCTGCTCACGGCCGACTCACTGCTCTGCTTGCTCTAGGAAAGAAAACCAGGCAAGAAATGGCACTGGGGTTTGGGATGACAGACAGACAGCAGCCCACTTCCTCATTAAAAACTAACTTTAAAATCAGTCAAGGTTGAGCTCCAGTAGTGGCAGGGTATAGAAGGGTTGGCCTAGGGTTCATATGAAAACCAGCCCATGTGGGTTTGTGCAAAGCAGGGGGATGGGAGAGAGGGAAGAAGAACCAAGGGCAGCCCCAGCTTCTGCAGGCTCACTGGTGAGCTTGGCCTCACCACTGCTGCTTTGTTTCAGAGCAATCCAGTCCATAGCATAGCCATCAAAGTCTTATACAACCCCCATCCAAGCCACATTTCTCAATGTGACAAAATTATTTGTTGGGAAAATGAATTCCTGGGGGAAGCAGGAGGCTCTGGTTATATGTGAGGGCTCTGGTATGCTGTGTCCATGAAAGACTATGTGTGTAATTCGCTAAGCTCCTAAAAAATAAGATCAAATTCAGGAGAAAAACCATCCCATTGTATGTGCATAAAATTGGAACATTAGCACTTTAAATACTCTTGCTAATTGCTTAAGATTGGTCCTGCAAATTATCAAACAGGGGCAGAACTCCTTCCAGCCACATTATTTTGGTAACCAGTTTGTAAGGAGAAAACAAAACTAATCAGTAAAATAACCTGCAGTAACAAACAGAGTTTGCAGTGCAGCAGCCATAAGAAACCCTAAAATAAACTAGTCTTAAAAGTTCAGTATGATACAACTAAAACAACGATTTGAAATGGGTGTGAAATACGGTGAAATAAGTCTCTGGGGACAAAAGCAACTGCAATTTAGACTTGGAAGGAATGTAAGTGGAAAAGAAAAATTATTAAGAATGTGCTAGGCATATTCACTAACCCAGTGCATGTGCAGGGCTTGTGCACACATGTATGTGCTTGTGTGCTCACAGGTATTTGTGTGGGATCTCATTCCTAGTTTTCAAAATCTGGCCCGGGTTTGCAAAATTTAGCAGTAAAAATCAACAGCAGGGACACATGAAGAGAAAACCTACTGATAAAGAAGGAACAGCAAGTAAATGTGAAGAGGTCCTACAAGGATGCACTTACATGTTAAAGATTAAGACCATCATCATGGTTTACATGAGTACAAAAAAGGAAGGAGGGATTGGTGAAGGTCCCAACAAGAAGCTTGGTTCACAGGTGCTTATTCTGCAAAATACCTGTTTTTACAGCAACTGATTTCCCTCAATTTCAATAACGTGTTCAAGGGGATTTCCTGCTTGGGATGACCTTGCATATTGTGTTCAATGCTTTGATGGACCAAGGCCTTTGGTTTCTACATGGGGAGGTGCAAGGAAGGGAGATGGGCGCAAAATTTGTCTGTGACTAATTCAGAAACACTTGCTAGGAATAAGAAAAAGCAATGTAAAGGGACAGTGTGAATAAAAAAGAGAATTGTTAAAACTCCCACAGCCACCATGAAGGGAAGCCCGCATCCCACAGAAAATGTGCCTCCATTTCCACATGTGCCATTCAGGATGGCCATCCCTACCTGGCTGGAGTCGGAGATGCAGTTGCTGTTGCTGCTGCTCTGTGCTGGTGATGGGTTCACAGAGATGACTGCCATGTGCTGCCGCGGGGGGAAGGTTGGGGATGGCTGGATCAGGGGAGGAGTGTGTCCAAAGGCTGAGCTCAGGCCTCTTTGCTGCGTCAGGATCTGCTGGTACGTCACGGGGTTAAGCGGGTGGGGGAAGCTGAATGCTGGACTGCAGCAGGAGGAGAAAGAGAAATGATGAGGAGCTATTTTAAACCGAATTTATCATTAGTCACTGATTCAGGTTTGGCTTCTTGGAGAATCCAGGAGCCAGGCTGCAATGCCTAGATAGACACCTTCAATGCCAGGATAAGCCTGCCTGCCTGCTTTACTGCAAAGTCACGATTTGACTCACATGTGCTTCAGCAAACTTGTGAATCATTTTGACCCAAGCATTAGACTGATTGTGATTTCTTTGCTTCCTCTTTAAAAAAAGCCCAACAAAAGCCCTAGGGAGTGCAGAAGAGGATAGGACTTGGACACATCTGGCTTTGTAGCCCCTAAGGCTCCTGGGTTTTCCCAGGCAGACCTCTTTTGCAAATTTGCAGCTTTGAGGTTAGGCTAACCTGGATATGAAAAACAAGAATCACCTGGCTCACCTGGCACAGATTACAGCAGGGATGAATAAGTATCCACTTAACATAGTCCAAAAACATGCAATTTACTCTGCATTCAGGTGAGGGGAGTGCTGGCTCAGGGGACTGCTGAAGCATGTCACCCTTCCTATGTAGGTCACTGGTTCATCTCCAATCTAGGTCAGCAGTGACCAGGAACATCACTTGCCCCTGGCTGCTTGGGCAATAACTGGGACAACAGGTCTGAGACAAGATGCAGCAGTGGAGAGCAGGAAAAACAAAGCTCTGCTTTTGGAAAAAAGGGGTCCATTCCCAAGGGCAAGTCCGCTGGGCAGAGAAAAAGAAGTATGGGAGATGCTCTGTGGTAACTCTAGATGTGTGATACACAAACCATAGACAGTCCAAAAATTGATTATTTGCCACCTTCAAGAAGTGGCTGCCCTGAACCTTTACCGTCATTTTCTCTCACACCACTAAAACTGCCCAAGGTGTGAGTGCTCAGAGAATAGGGCCATAATTAGAAACATGCTTAATGACCAATTTTGCTTTTGGAGAGAGTATTTAATTCCTGCCTCTAAGATGCTGTTAAAATAATAACAAAAAAGTCTTTTCATGACAAATTTCTGGCAGTTATGCTGTTCTGAATGTTACCCATTTTACAAATCCTGACATTTAGGATATATTTTTAGAACACCGAGAAGGGTTTCAAATTCTTTATTTGTAGTTGATTATTCCCTCAGAGGCTCAAAGTTGACCATTAGGTCAGTTCTTGGACTTAACTGATTTGTTAAAAATATCAAATATTACTCTTCATATATGAGGGTGAGATGCTACAGGTATGTGCAGCTAATGACAACAGATAAAAAGACTAAGAAAAAATATGATTACCAGATAAGAAGCTGCAATTTTTTTATGTCAGCCTTATGTTTGATTTTACAGTCAATTTCTAAATTATGTTGCTGGATAAAGTAACTTACATAATTAACGCTACACTTACTAATAACAACATCTCTGTTTTCCCCCACAAGTTTAAAGCATGCATAATCTTTGTAACCCTTTGCTTTGCAACATCAGTGTTAATTAGATCTAACATTTTTAACAGTTAAGTAATAGAAAGAATAATAACACTGTGAAACTTGGGTGAAGCAATCACAGTAGGGATTGACAACAGTCAGCTGCCTAATGTAAGTGCTTTTTAATTAAGATTTGAACAAAACTTTACTCAAGGGTTTAGACTGGGTTTAAATACGCTTTTAGAATTAGGCTCTTCTATCCACCCAGGCAACATTTTTCCTAAGAATGTGGGCCAATAATTTGAACAGTACTTTGGGGCAATCTCTTAAATCAGAGTGTTTCTTAATCAGTCAAACTGCTCACAATGAACATTTTCTAAGATAAATTTATTATCTGTTTCTGCTTGAAGGGAGGCATGATCATACTCTAATTACTGGAAACGTGGTAGCCAATAACCCAAATCCAGACAAAAAAACCCCACCCCAAACGCCACAAAATACCCTTCCACGAGCAAAACCAGATGGGGGCTTTGATTTACTGTGCTACACAGTCCTGATACACAAAAGCAGAGGCTGTGAGGAAGGGAAGCTTTCCCTTGCTGGAGGGTCACCCTTTTTGGGTGGATGGTTCCTCAGCTGAACAGAGCTGATCCCAGAGCTTTACCTGATCGTCCCGGCAGATAAATGGCCGTAGGAGCCACTTGCTGCTGAACTGCTTCTGGAGTTGTTGATATACGCCACAAGAGAGTTTGGGGAGGTCCTGATCATTGTCTGGAGATCAATGCTGGCATCAGAGAGCGGGGAGATAGACAGGGCTCGTTTCCGGCTTAATCTTGGAGTCACCCGCGGGCTTGAAAACCGGGACACTGCAGGGAAGAGAGACTTTGTCAGACAAGACCAGTGGGCTGCTCCCTTCCTGCAGGCAAGCTGGAAATGCTGAGAACTGCTGCACTCATGACTGCTGCGGGATGTTCAGGACCCAGGAGCAGTGCAGGGACCAAATGCCCTTTGATGGGAAGTTTCCTCTCTTCTGCATGCTGAATGGCAGGGGTCAGGCAGCAGCATGAGCACCTGCTTGCCTTGCTGTCTTCAGGGCATACAGAATTCTGTCCATCACCCTCTTTCACAGGCACTAAATTAACTTAAAAGAGAGAAGGCCCGGCAAGGTTTCCAAGGTTTCCATGCCTGTTGACTCAGTGTCAGGAGCAGCAGGCCCAGGGAGCTGCACATCCAAGCTGGGGCGACCATTGCAAATGGTGAGTGTGTGCCTGTGTGCAGGGGGAATGGAAACCAAACAAGCATGAGCATAATGCTGACCATCCAATTAATGAAGGGGGCGAGGCTCCAAAAACCCTGAAAGTAAATTAAGAGTTTTAAGAAAACCAATTTGGCAGCTCAGGCACAAAGTTCAAGCTCTCCCCCTCCAAGGGAACCTGCCAGTGCCTAGACCCTATTAGCAATTGTCAATCATTCAGGCATGAAGTAATTTCCAACCCTGCCAGGCCCATTTATGGATCTGCAATACATGACGGGTTACTACTGTAGAAGTTTGGCATCCCTCAGTGTTTCAGCACTGCTAACTGGAACTACTGACTTCACCCAAAGGAAACTCTGCCCACGCCTGACCCACCTGCAGATCTCTGGGGTGGCATGGATGGGAGATGCAGATATACCTCAGTACCAGGGTACCATACCCAAACCCTGCCTGGAATGACTCATCCCTCCAAAGCAAGCAGTGTTTGAATTGTGTATTTAGGAAAAAAAAATAAAAACCTGAGCGTAAAATATAGCACTTGGCAATGAGTCCTGGCTGGTAATCCCTGCCATCCACCCAGGGGTGCAGGAGGGCTCAGCTGCTCCAGCTCCTTTCCTGCATGAGCACAGCAACTTTTCCAGTGGTGGTCTCCCCAGAAAGCATGCTATGGTATATCCTATTGAACACTGTGAATGAATGACAGGCAATAAGAAACATTTTCCTCTAGCTAGTTGAAGGCACTGATTTTGGTTGCATATCACCAAATACAAGCCTGGCACTTTGCAAGAACATGAACTTTCCATCCTGATGACAGTGCTGGAATGCGAGAGGGTGAATGGGGTGTAGAAGGAGGCAGGATGTAACCTGCTGGTGTGATCAAACAATTCCTTGGTTTGTGTTGGCTCACAGCAGTCTGTGCCAGCATTTCCCTGGGACCAGTGGCTGGATTGCAGTGTCCCAGTCTCCACATGACTTGTCTGTGCACCAAAGTGGCTCTGCCATTACCATGCCTGGGTGCTGTGTAATCAATGGGGTTTAGTATCATCATCCTCTGAGTCCCCATAATGACCCTCATTGCACAAGATAAATGACTTGCCCAACATCCCATGGAAATCCAAGGCTAAGTTGGTATTTGAACCAAGCACCTGGTGCCTAAAGAGGCTACCTGGAACAGAGGCTAGACAGAGTTAAAGGAATAAGGTAGTTATTTATTAAAAGGCCTTCCAAGGATACACCTTGGGCAGTACAAGAGCCTGACCATGGCTCTGTCCAAGATGGATGCAAGATGGACGACTGGCCATGAGTTCTCACACTTCTATAAGTTTTGATGTACTTGCATATTGGGGTTAATTGTCCAATTACAGTTTCAGGTTATGAAGTCCCATCCTCTTCAATTGCTTTCCTCAATTCACTGCTGTTTATAATTTTTGGGCCCGGAGCTGCAATGGTGTCCTTGGTTCTCGGGCTGGAAAAGGATTGTTTTGTCTAACTACCCTGTAAAGAGAACTTGCTAGCACTATGAAGTTCAGAGTCACACACTAAGGCAGTACAGAATTTGGAAAATAGAAAAGCTAAAACTTAAGGCATCAATCATACTCTTGTGACTTTTGTTCTACACCTAAGCAGCTTCAAGAGTTGCTAGATGCAACGCTTTTACTGAAAAACAGACAATACTCAGTTTCAGAAATTTGGAAGTAAGGAATTTCTCTTAAAAATCAGATTGTTGCATATATGTACAACACATTGTTCTAATATTTTCTACAACTACATTGTGCAGCCTCACGGGGCAGAGAGATGCTAGAAGACATGACTCAGAGCAATCAGAAAGGGCAGCAGTCTATAGAAAACACCTTCTGAGTGTTAAAGCTATCCCATGATTTGGAGGGACTAGGCTCAAACTTCCCAAATGCTTGCAGTTGGAAGATTCTAACCCTGTGTGACACTTCCCTGGAAGCTGGAGAAGATGCAGCCACTTTGTAGAGACACTGTGGACAAAACCACATTGAGCAAATGAAATCCCATCAGCAAAGGCTGTCCCAAAAGGCTGAAATGGAGAATTGCCAAACTTCATATCTGGTTCCTGAAATCTGAGCCCTGGACCAAACAACATGAGGATTGCTTGGGCCTAGATCATAATGGTCCTCTGGCCATAAGGAATCTTGATTCAGTACATGCACCACAACCTGGAAAGATCTGGGTGCTATTCCCAGTCCTCCTCAGCCATACTTCCTTGAGCAAGTTGCTGCTTCTTTCTGTGTCCCTGTTTCCCAGTGTCATCTATTTAGATGAGCTCCTTTAGACAGGGCTTGTATTTTATTTAGTACACACTGCACCAAGTGCGATGGGGCCCCATCTCAGAACAGTTGTCAGGGTTTCTGTCCTACAAATAATATGCATTTTTCCAGATATAGATATTGTTTCCTGCATTTGCATTCCCACAGTCTCCTCCTTTTCTAACAGAAGGAAACAGGCCAGATTTGACAGTCATATTTATCTCTGTTACTCCCACATCTCAAGGGAGATCTGTTTATTAATGTGCCACTTCCCTTGATAAATTACTAAATAGAAAGAAAAGCCTTGTACTCATTTCTCGCTGTTCCTTCACATGATTTATGCCCACAGTGCTGGATCAGCCATTGGTTCCCATTAATTTGCGGAGGGAAGAAGACCTGATGTCCAACAGAAATCTGGGTTTTAGCAGTGCAGACGGCATGGGCACTCCTCCCTGCTGCACACAGGTATGTTGTTTTTTCCCCCACATAAAACTCTGCGGGAAGCTGTCAGATTATCAAGCTCATCTGGGAATTCTCCAGCCCAAAACCAGTAATATGCATTGTGTTAGTGTCCACTCTAATTTAGATCCTGCAAGTGCTGTGGGCTATCTGAAATGTTTGATAGCAGATCCAATAGGTTGGGCTCATGCTTTACACAAAAGCCTCTTAGGTCTTGCAGGCTTCCACAGAAAGCTGTGACCTAAAATCGTGCCATGGATGAACAATTCCTCTCTTCTTAATGACAGCCTGCCCAAGGTGCCTGGGAAGAGAATCATCTGGGAAATGGAAAAGGAGTTTAGGCACATGAAGAAATGCTCACTAGTGCATTTAGAAAGAGAGAATCTTTTCAAAATTATTATTCAAAAGTAGATTAACAACACTGGGATTGTTCTAAATAATAAAGTTTGCCTGACCTGAATCTCCTGATCTGAGGACATGGAGCATGAAAGTGAAATGGTAACAGGAAGCAGCAGTGGTCAGCATTTGTGTAGCTGTACACAGCAAGGTGTTCAACCCAGGCTGACTGACAGCCACTGGGGCACATAAGCAAAGTCCTCTGCTGCCTGAGGTCCAGTGTTGTTCCAAAAGAAAAACCACACACAACTGTTCAGCAGGGACTGTGCCCAGAGAAGTAACTAAAGGCGGGATGCATTTTTCAGACACACAGATGGAAAGCTTTGGGAACATGTATCACTAACACTCCTCTCTCTTCTCCCCTTTCAAAAATGCTGACCTCTCAAAATGAACAGGATTAGTTTAAAGAATTTTTTGATGTTTGGAAAATATGTTGGGGGAAGTTCCCAAACTGTCAGAGTACTCCCCTTCAACACTCCTATAAGGAGAAAAAAAAAATTTGGCATTCTTTCTGCTGTTCGGAAAGTTGTGCTCAGAAACCTAAAGTCATCATAGGTTAACATGAATTTGAAAAGTCACACACTGAAGTAAATATAGGAATATATTTCAAAATTAATTTCACTCCTCTAGCAGTACTTCAGTTTTTAAAATTAATTTCTCTGTGCCTTTCTTCCTCAGATGGAAATCTTCCTTATCTTCAGTTTTTTTCCCTTGAATCCTACTGGAATATGGAAAAAACTGTTTTGTCACCCAGGTCCACAAAGAAGTGATGGGCCAAAGCCCATGCAGCAAAACAAGAAAAAAGTGAACTGGTGAATGGAAGGACACAGTACTGTACTGAGTCCAAAGCTCTGGTCATTGGTTGCAGCATTGTGGATGGCAGCTCATGACAGACAAAAAAAAATTTACCAAAAAAGCTTTAAACCTGGTGCCTCTCCTTACAAAAAGTCAACTCCAGATACATTTTAGAGTGTTTTTACTGTTATGCAGTGGTTTTTCCTTACCATTTCACAAACAGACCCTTATACAGTGACTGTCACAAGCTCAGGTCTACATCCTAAGGAATAAATATAACTCACATACCTTAGGAAATCTTTCAAAACTGCCTGGAGTAACTTTTCACTAGAAAAAAAACTGATTTTACAGCAGCACTATCTTTTTAGAGTGAATGTAAATTCCACAGTTCACAACCAAAAGCCATTTCTCTCCTGGGGTGTGTGTGTTTAAATATCTGATTTCTAAACTAGCAGGAATTCAAGGCTGAGTTTTTGAGTGACACTGCCAGCGTCTGCCAAACGTCCCAGCCCAGTCCTCCAGACAGCTTAGAGCTGGGAGGAACGTCACGATTTCTTTGCTGGAAGGAAAGAGTATCCTTGGCACTTTCCTGTAGTGCCCATGAGTTATCACATCCACAAGTTGCTCAGAAACTTGGATACTTCTCACAAATTTAGATTAATCTACAATAGGTCAGTGATGACCAAAT